TTTTTTTGTGTGCGCTCGATTGATTAAAAAAGTTAACTCACCATCAGCATCAGTTCGACGTGCCTTGAGAGCTCAGGTTTGATTATAGATTTCTGCTGACATTGTTTTAAATATTCCTTCGCTTTGCTTGGTCGCCTACAGTGAGTGTGTGTGTGTGTGTGTGTGTGTGTGTGTGTGGCGAAATTTTTGCCTTGTTTACCTACTCGCAGCTTGTGTAGAGACAGTGCTCACAGCTAAATGGACATTCAAGTATGTAGTATGTGTGTGTACACTTTCAGCTTTACTTCCCCTACATTGTTGCACTGCTCTGATTATATTAAGCTGATTGATTGGAAAATTTGTCTATATAACTAGATTTTGTCATGTTTGCCATTTTGCGGTTCATGTGGCTAGCAGCGGTGGCTTGTGTTTAATATTAAATTCATTACTGCACAGCTATTGCACGAGTTGGGTTCATGTCACTCCAAAGGGGTACAATAACTTTGTTGGAACCTGCTTTAGAATGAAGCAAGTTTGTATAAAAAATCAAAGGAAGCTTTAAATTATACTAGCTTTGCTCGTTTAAATATAACGATTTAAAATTTCGTAAAAAAGAAAATAAATTATTTCAACGAAAATAACAAATTTTATTTAAAAAGAAAGTTTTTCATTGTCTCGAGGCTCCATAACATGGTCAATGTATCAAACTTAAACTAAATTACAGTTCGTAGCTGCTATTTATACTATCTGTACTATACATACATATATAAATTTTTAACATCTTTTTTATAAGTGGAAATTCTTTCCTAAATAATTTGATTGTAGATAAAGTGGGAAAGGTGGAAAATCTTTGTTGCTAAGACTTAAGATATTTCATTTTGGAAATTTCCGTTAAATTGAATTTGATTTTTTAAACAGGTGGCACATTTTTCAAACATGTTTTCTTAAGCATTTCCGCATATATTTCAATAAATTGAATTTCACTTTTAAAAACGTGGCAGCCCTCATCAAAATATTATTGAAAATAAAGTTTTCTTAAACCTGACTTATTTGATATCCTGATTCAGTTTAATTAAACTTTTAACAGATGGCAACCTTTTTAAAAAATGTTTTACAAAGCTTTTCTAAACAACT